CAGATGACACAACTTCCGGTCACGTCAGAATGACCTTTCGCAAACTTTGACCACCCAATGAAATAACTAACAAGAAGTCGATATAAGCCAATCAAAAGCAGTTTTCTCGAGCTTTACGACAAAGTTCCAAACTGATGACGTACATTCCAGACCGCACTTTGAAAATATGTTGGCATAGTTCTCTATTCAAAATTTGAAAACTACAAAAGAACATTCTGTAATATGGAATAGATGGCTGAGAATGTAGAAATGGCAGTACTTCTCACGGGCTGGTCTGTTCAAATATTTATCCCACTGAAACGAGAGATAGACGGAAGCAGTCGTACAGTCGTAACTGTCGTTCAGAATACCTCGTGTTAACCTTTACGAGGTTGCATGATTGGAAAACACATTCTGACTCACTTTCCTGATCTGATAAGCGACGCTCATTTTGGTCGGATGAAAGGTCGTTCTGGCGTGCCTTGTAATGGGATGTCCTCCGACGTTTATTTAGTGGTAGCGAGAACTAAGATCTGATTTTAATGAGATTGACCAGGGTCCGACTGTACTACTTTTGTGTATCTTGCACATAGCTTATGTGCACGTCCCGCCAAGTTCATACTGAAACACAGAAGCATCCATTTGATCTTCGAATTAACTGTTGACACGTTGTCCAAACAGGGAGCAGAACACTTTGTTTCAGTTCAGTTTTAACATGATTATTCACAAAAAGTGACTGGGAATGGGTGCAAGTTCTCCAATTTACGGCGCCTTCTCTCACATATTTACACTATTGATAGACAATTTGTACTATACACGGACGGTACATTAGGGAAGACAAGATTAGGAACGGTAAGTGAACGGTTAGAACAATGTAGTACACATAAATCTGAATATAAATGATTTTGTATATTATGTTTTTATATTATGTGTATATCCATTTCCATGTCAAATTGAGATAGGTTGGTGTATTTTCGACTATACTGCGTATATTTCTAAGTAAAGTGTCTTTTTTAATGGAGTAATGTGGGGGGCATTCTCACGATCTCGTATTCTCGCGATCTCGACCTTTGGAAACGAGCTATATATGCCCCAAACACGAGAATGCGTGATCGCGAGATCGCCAAAATCTCGCGTTCGCGCGATCTCGACCTTTGGAAACGAGCTATATATGCCCAAAACACGAGATGTTCTGTTGTACTTCTACGCCGTGATATAATACTATTCAAACCTAAAACGCCGCACACAGCGAGCCTGTAAATAATCGAGTCTGGACCAGGCAATCCAGGCATTGTTTCAGTCTTATCCTGAAGTGTGCACACCATGCTGAATAGCTACAGGATGTTGTCATCAGTCGCTTCGCGAGCCCCCGTACAGATACAATATATTGTATTGTCACGACTAATTTTTCAATCAAACTATGACCATCAAGAAGTGAGTGAGTATGGTTTTACGCCGCTTTTAGCAATATTCCAGCAATATCACGGCGGGGGACACATCAGAAATGGACTTCACACATTGTACGCATGTCAGGATTAGAACCCGGCTCTTTGGCGTGACGAGAGAACGCTTTAACCACTAGGCTACCCGATCATCAAGGAACAAGCAAGGTGAGGGATGGGGTGCAACATCGCGTTCAAGATTAGTTCATTTATACAGTGACGTACATGCATATGTGCGTGGCTGCCTGTACTAGTCCGGACTAATTTTATAGTTCTAGCCAAGTGAGATATCATGCTGCAGTTAAACATGGATAGAGACTCAGTATACTGACCCCAAACCGACCAGTCCTGGTTTTATTCCTTAAAGCCGAGCGCCAGGCAGGGTAACAACACGTACCATCATTTAGTGTCGTTTCGTATGACGCGGCCAGGGATCGAACCACTGATCTCCGGGCAGGCGCTGTATCCACAAGACCACGGAGGCGGTCTGGTACAAGCGTACTCTGACTCAGACTCAGAGCGTATACTCAACAAACTAATAACGATGCATGAACACTCGATACAATAGTTATTAAAAATGTTAAATGGTGCCGAATTTTAGAATCGTGAAGCACATATGTTGAGGTAGTAATAAATATTCTTCTTAAAGTGTGGTACAGTTAGTTAAGTTGATACTGTATAATAGTAGAGTCAACACCGCCCCCGCCCCTCCACACCCACACTTCCCTCTACCCCCGAAAAAAGGACAAAATAAATAGAAAATGAAACCCCTCACACGTCACAGACAAATCAAACTGTCATACTTTAAATATTGTCAAAAACGATTATGTCTCTATATACACGTCTCAATCTACTTACGCGTCTCTACTTCTTAAAGTTTGGTACAGTAAATAAAGTTGAAACTGTATAATACTAGAGTAACCCCCCCCCCCCCCCCCCCCCCCCCTTAGCCACCATCACCCCACTCCACCCCCACACACTCTGCCCCTGCCCCCTGCCCTACCGTATACTGAATGGCCCGGTGGTGAGCTGACACCGATGCTACAGTTAAACATTTTAACTTTACATGAATAAATACGGTAATTAAATTGATGAGCGGTAGCCCTTGGTTCAGGTTTTATTTGCCTGGTGCCGGGAGAGCCAAATCTCGTGTTAATGAACCGTGTCTGAGCCCTTACTGGTCCCAGGAACACCAAGAGGAGTTGTCCTCCTAAATATCAAATTTGGTGCTCCCGGGCCGACGCCGATGCAACACATGTCGCTGTGTCTGGCAAGTATGCCAAACGTCAAGTTGTGTGTCAGGAGACGTACAAATAATGTTTAGGTTACGAAAACATTTACAGTGTCAGCAACACCGCTGTCAAATAGTCTGTGTCATCAGTATGTTGTAGTTGACTGGCTGTAGTATCAGTTAACATAGACTAGGGACAAAAGTAGACATGAACTGGAAAGGACAAATTAGCTGACACGATATGTGTTGACGAATACGCTCATCAGAAGGTCCATCGGAACGGAGCTCCCTCCCAGCACGTGACACCTTCGTTACCCTCTCGGTAACATCCACACTCCGGCGCAGTGATGACTCAACATAACACCACTGCCACAGGCTAATTTGCATATCACGTGACTGGGCTTTTCTCTTGTTTGTAAACAAACGCGCTTTTTCAGAAATCAGTATAGAATATATATGACAATATATACATCAAAGTGACCGTATCGCTAGCTCTCCGTTTGGCTTCGATGACAGCACGTGGAGCCGTACAACCAATGTAAACAAAGGATAACTACGCAAAAACAAGTAGATTTTCACGTATTAGGATACGTTCTTAATTAACCGTAACCATTCTTTGACATTTGTTTATGAAAATGTGTAGACTTGTCAAACATGAAACGGACGAAAAGCATATTCAATATCTTGAATGGACTGTGAAAGATGTGACCAGAGACCATATAATAGATCTATATGGTCTCTGATGTGACGAATGGTCACATGGCGCTGGTCTGTGGCAGAGGTACTATGCTGGCTTGCTTGCCGGCCGCATGGAACTCTGGGTAGGAGAGTGGGTAACATCGCTACCACCAGTGTGGGCGCGGCCATTACGAGAATCTTGAAATTTGCCCGCTAACCCAAAATGTAGCAATGTTTATAGATGTGTTTATGTCTTTGGTAATGTCATCATTGAGAATATTGAAAAGGTTTACGACTGACCATATTTTCCAGATGAATTTAACTTCTTGTTTGTTTGATCAAATTGGTTCGAGATTGCAGACGAACGGAAAATCACCGTAATCCCCCCTTACATTCTTTCTATACCAATTACATGATAGTTGGAATGAAATTGCAATTCAAATTGACAAACACAGAAAATAATTTAGGTAGCGTAAGTGTATTCGGCGTCACGGCAGTCGTCGCTTGTTTGTAAACATAACGGCCCGTCGGTTGCGAGTTCAACTACAAGCATTGATGTGGTCACCAATCACAGTGGGGAGCTTTGACTGGTGGCAGCGATAGTACAGAGAGCTCAGCGAATGGGATATCGCTGTGAGGAGCTTGTCTGAACGCGTGAATACCTCACAACGTCGTCTTTTGACGTCATACAGGAAAATCTATTTCCTTCATTTATGGCAAGTTAGTTTTCGAATCGAATGTATAACGTTCTACATAAGCATAAAATCCATTTGATATATATTTATGTTGTTTAGATATTAGGCCGTATTTTGTTCGCTCAATTTCCGTAAAGCTGTTAAATATAATAACGTCGCACAAATTTGGCGAAACTTGATGTGTTTTTTGACATTAAACAAAATCTCGGACAGCACTTAGCAGTGTATGTTTTTCAAACCAGTTTAATATTTTACACCCTCAGATGGAAAATCTCATATTCTACATCTCTGGGTAGTTTATAGTCACAGGTAGACTCAGTGCCGCGCGACCGCAATTCTCGCACAGCGTTATATTTTCAACACTTATAAATATGTACATCAGAGAAATAAGCTATTTTCATCCAGGCATCGTGTGTTGTGTTTCCGCTGATGGTTAGGTCACGAATATAATACAATCTCCGCGGCATTTAAAAACAACAACATAAGTTCTAGTAAATACAGCTATTGATTTCAACCACCAATTTTTTGTCCCAATATATCCACAAAAAAAGCAATACAAGAAATATATAATTGTATCCGGATAGAAAAAATAATTATGTCTCGAACAAGAACAAAAATACCCCTCCCCGAAAATAGCAAATTGCCGGCCACTTTTACCGAGACCGCAGATTGGGTCATAGCGACCCGGGCCGCACTCTCCTTCCCAGGTTCTGCCGCAGGCCAGCGCCATGTGACGATTCGTCACATCTTACAAAGTCCATTCACGATATTGCATGTATATATATATATATATAAACTGGTCCCACTGTTGGTACGCGACGCTTAGTGCCATTGGTTTAGGTAGACAGAAACCCAGTCCACATTCCAAGGTTGCCCGAGGCGGTACCGTAATAAGCTTGGCCCCGTCTCTAATATCACAATATAGCTTGGCGCAAGTTGACGACGCGCATAGGGAGCCGGGAACCAGCTTAGTACCGTAAATGAACAATTGGAATTTGCTAAGCGACGTTGTGACGTCATGTTCTTCACAATAATGACGTCATTCCATGTTAAAATGGTGGAAATCGTGGTATTGGATGTTTTACGCCCGAGAAACATGACCCGAACAAGGTGACATCTTTAATGTAAGTAATTGGTATGGACTCCGAACACATTTGACTTATTATTTGCCGTCTAAGGCGCCGCGATTCGCTGTGCAGAGTTGCGTCCCTTGGGCATGCCAGAAACCTATGATTGTGGGTTCGAATCCCGGTTCGCCCCGATAATGTTTCTAGGTTCTGCAGGGGCCTTTCCCCCTAATTTAACCCTCTGGATGCCACAGGGACGTCGACATATATGTCCCTCCTCTACAACCCTCCCTTTGAAGTCGAAAAAAATTCAAAATACATCATGCACGCTAATACACTTTACAGTTTTGAATAAGGTGGGAGATTCCCTGTTCTGTGATATCATCCACTGGCAGTTTAGGCCAAGAAAAGGTACTAAAAATGACCTCTGAAAATTAGGTACTTCGTAAATGTGGCCATTTTTTACACATTACTAAATCACCGCTCATCGCGTTATTTACAGCATGTTTTGAAATCTAATTTTCGGATATTTACTCCGAGAAATGAATTTCAAAAATAGCATATTAGTGATCACGGGTATCTGTCCTTAATGAAATCACCAAGGGTCATCCCCAAACGTCTCCGATAACCCTAGAATCGTTTGGAATGTTTTGGAAAATACGCAAACACGAACGCCGAAGTGAACTTTCCGCCATATTGGATGGTGTTTACAAAATCACGTTTCAGGTACACCGGTTATGAGGCGGCTGTAACATAACGTATATTTCAAACTTAGCTGCGATACACACATCCTTGAATTCCTCATACATTTTAGAATCAAATGACCAGTGGTCTTTATCACCAATACGAAGTGGCTGGATGAAATCAAGCAAAATAAGTTAGGTGTGAAAACGAACGCTGTGCTCGAAAAACTGCACTTGTTTGAAATGTAAACAAAGCAAAATACAGATTTTACACAGTGTAGCATTTTCTCCTATTTTGAGCTATCCATTCGTCTATTCGTTCAATATATTGGCTTAACATTTTCAGAATATGCATGGGAAGAGAATCTTAGGAAGAATTAGGGAATTTGAAATAGATACATTGCAATGATTTGATATTTTCAACAGAAATTGTCAAAATTACCGCCCTGTGTGACGCCATGACTGACGCAAAATCACGCACAACGACAACGGTATTTATCGGAATTTCTGACTATTTCGGTTTGTTTCAATGAAAATTATAACAACAAATAACAGTACATAGATTGTCAGAATGTTTCTGATTACTTATATGTCACATTTATGTATATACGATCCCTGAATCAACGAATGTCCCCTCGTAAAATCCCGCGTACTGTTGACAGTGAACACGCCATTTGGTAAAAGTCGGTCATAAGTAGTGATGTCATACGTCAACATTGTTGTACATATTTGGTAATTTCTTTGAGGTGAAGGTCAAGGAATGAGAGTGCACACGATCATTGTACCATGCTGTTTACAGTTTCAGTTATGCTGTAGATTTTTCATATCTTTTATACATTTTTTCACACAATTATTTTCCCTTTGGACATTTGTCAATTTTCAAAATGATATCATACGTAAATATGTATGAACGAACCTTTGATAATCTCCTGTTTGTTTGAACATTGTTTACATAACAATTGATAGGTTTTTAGTGTCGAATACGATATTTCTTTCCTTTGGACAAGTGTTACAAGATGAAGTGTAAATGTAACTGCAGCATGTACGTATTTCTTGGGATGTGCAATAGTCAATATTATAAGTTCATATTAGCAAGATGTCCATGAATAGCCGTTTCATTTTATTTTATAACTAAGACTGAATGTATTACTTTCCCACAATGGATAATATTTTTATCTGAAAGAATTGTCTTGGTCTTGGAATTGTTTTTTATGTCGTTTGAACAGTGATATCTAACGATTCGCCAGGTGCGCGTTAGTCACAAACAATTTACGAATTATTCCTCTCGTTTTGCATTATATAATCAATGGGTTCATTCTTCTTTTTCAATAATGTGATCACAGGATATTAAACTGTTTACTTTATTTCTCCAGGTTGGTTCAACCTTATACAATTATCCTGATAATTCTATACCAATGGAGCTTTCTTCGCATCTTTTATTGAGTAATTCTGAGACGATATTAAGAGAAATTATAACATAATAATAAACAAATAATTGTCCAATATTGAATATAATTTTGGTTGTTTTGAAATATTCTTTTGGGTATTTTATTACGTACATTGATGCTAAACAGATGCGTGTCTTGTCCAATAAAGTTACACGATAAACTATCCAATTGTTTACATATTCAAGACATTATTTACTTGGTGAAAGCAGTAATTTTATGTGTGTCGAAAAAGCGTCAAATTCCGTTTTACACAGCGAGATTTTCCATACCATGAACCAAAATTATGGGAGATACATATTAATCAAAATACCATTGTCATCTTTCTCCGACGTTATCGAACACATACAATCAGCCATGACGTCAAAAGGAATGGTGTTATTTTGGGGGTATTTCATTACATTTCATGATAAGGCTAGTGCTCCATTAATAATGGTGCAACATTAGTCAAATTACACTTACACATTGAGGAGAATGTTGGAATCTAAGGACTAAGTTATAGGTTAGATAGAGCCATCCATTTCTCCATTACCTATTTTATATGAAGTACGATTTCATCATTTCTAATGGGTTTTTTAAATAACTAAACGAATACAGTTTCAATATGGCTATTTGTGTTGGAATAGTTTGGTTCCTCGTGAACGAAACACCGCGAAAATATATTGTCCTTACCCACAGTTAATTCTCACGAATTGACCCGAGTTACAATAAACTAGTGCTATGCATAGCGGAGTTATGCCCCCTTTTCTTTGTACGCGTGTAACCTCTCTGTCGCCTTTTGACGTCATGGAGAAAAATCAGTTTTCGTCATTTACGGCATGCTATTTTTGGCATTGAATGTATGTCGTTATATATACGCATATAACTCCATTTGATATATAGTTATGTCGTTCAGATATTAGGCAGTACTTTTATCGGTGTACGATAAAAAGCGGAGAAATTTACTGTTTTTCAACGCAGAATAAATTCTCGGACAACACTTAGAAGTGTATTTTATTTAAACCGGTTTAATATTTGCAGTTAACATTACACCATCAAATAGGAAATTTAATATTCTCCACCTCTGCGTAATTTTATAGCCAGAGGTATATCCAATGCCGCATGAGTGCAATTCTCGCACAACCTTCACTTTTCCGATCTTAGGAAAATGTGCGTCAGAAAAAAAACTCGGCATCCAGAGGGTTAAAGCAGTTGCATTTCGCCGAAATATGTCCGAATTGTTACCTTGTTTCATTTGTGTAATGGGATGTCCTTAGATCTTGGTTTGGCGGTAGCACTAACACCTGATTTGATTAAGATTATACTGACTCATATATGTACAAAGTTATGTTAAGAAATATTGAACGGTCTTTGCGTTATGCTTTAGATACAAACCCCATTCTCATTTGAACCTAAGCCCAATGTGTTCTCTTGGAAAACGGAAATAATTCACTAGTTCATGGTGAGACGGATATCTGGTCAAAGTTTGTTCAAGAATTAGTGAACGGTCTTTGAGTTATGATCCGGGAGGCAAACTTGACGGTAGGACAGCACTCGTTCCTTTATATATGTAATAAATCATGTCAAGGTTATTAAATAACCATATAAAATATACCATGTACAGAATACTTTCAAGACAAGTTTGCACATGACTCAATCGTCGCTGTAAAGGCAGTGTAGAGTTATTCTCATATTATAATACTAACGCTTCTTTCAATATCCTCACGCGGCATCATGCATGCGAGTTTTATATAATCAATTTAAATTTAAAAATCAATTCTGGTCGCCAAACAATACGAAGTAGACAAAATAAAAATGATAGCAACAATTTGTACCAAAATCAAGGTTGTTAAAAAACGGTTAAATTCGCGTGTTGGTCTTTATAATTACCTCCATCTAATATAAAGAATAAAGAGAGAAATAAGAGGCACACATTTAATTCAAAGGAATGTATGCGAGTAAGTGAGACAATATTAAATGCAATGTTTCGATGTTAGCCATTAGTCCGAAGCCCGAGTCTAGTACAACATCCCGTTAGCCATTAGTGCGAAGCCGGAGTCTAGTACAACATCCCGTTAGCTATTTGTCCGAAGCCCGAGTCTAGTACAACATCCCGTTAGCTATTTGTCCGAAGCCCGAGTATAATACAACATCCCGTTAGCTATTTGTCCGAAGCCCGAGTCTAGTACAACATCCCGTTAGCTATTTGTCCGAAGCCCGAGTCTAGTACAACATCCCGTTAGCCATTAGTGCGAAGCCGGAGTCTAGTACAACATCCCGTTAGCTATTTGTCCGAAGCCCGAGTCTAGTACAACATCCCGTTAGCTATTTGTCCGAAGCCCGAGTCTAGTACAACATCCCGTTAGCTATTTGTCCGAAGCCCGAGTCTAATACAACATCCCGTTAGCTATTTGTCCGAAGCCCGAGTCTACTACAACATCCCGTTAGCTATCAGTCCGAAGCCCGAGTCTAGACTAATAGCCTGTTAGCTCCAAGACGGAAGCACGAGTCTTGTACAACCGCTTGTTAGCCCGAGTCTACTAGGACAGCCTGTAAGTTACCAGGCCAAACATCGAGTCTAGTACAACAACCTGTTAGCCACTAGAGTCCGAGTCTAGTACCACAGCTTGTTAGCTACCAGTCCAAAACTCGTGTTTAGTACAACATCCTGTTAGCCATTAGTCCGAAGCCCGAGTCTAGGACAACAGCCTTTTCACCCGTGAAGATCCTGGTTAAAATAGGTCTTCAGCAACCCATGCATGCCATAAAAGGCGACGATGCTCGCCCTAAGAAGCGAATAGTGAGTGAGTGAGTATGGTTTTACGCCGCTTTTAGCAATATTCCAGCAATATCACGGCGGGGGACACCAGAAATGGGCTTCACACATTGTATCCATGGCGGGAATCGAACCCGGGTCTTCGGTGTGACGAGCGAACGCTTTAACCACTAGGCTACCCGACCGCCCTAAGAAGCGAATAACGGGGTCGGGTGGTCAGGCTCGCTGACTTGGTTGATGCATGTCATCGTATCCCAATAACGTGGATAGATGCTCATGATGTCAATCACTGGATGTATGGTCCAGACTCGATTATTTACAGACCGCCGTCATTTAGCTGGAATATTGCTGAGTGCGGCGTTAAACAACTAATAACAAACAAACAATTAATTTAATAAATATTTTCTTTCTTTTCGTCCAGTCCGACGACAGCCTGTCTCCGCCGACGTCCTACATGGCTGCCACACCCGCTCCTCACCCTCGCCAGGACGACGTCGTCACCACCCTCGCCCTCAAGCGCCGTGTTTACACAAGGCTGGAGATTGATGAAGCCTACAAAGACGAGACTCCTCCCTGGAGCCTTAGTGGCTACTTCAAGTCGGCGTGCAGATGCTCCAGAGAAACAGTCATCGCCGGCCTCCTCAGCATCTTCCCCATCCTCAACGTCGTCAGGAGTTATCAACTACGTCAGTACATCCTCGGCGACTTCTTGTCAGGTCTATCCGCTGCCTTCCTACATCTACCACAAGGCCTGGGGTTCGGACTACTTGCCTCCTTGGCCCCCGTCAACGGCCTTTATGCTACCTTCTTCCCAATCGTCCTATATACGCTGTTCGGAACTTCTCAGCATGTGAGCATGGGAACAAATGCAGTAATTGCTCTCATGACGGCTAATATCGTTGAACGGGAAGGGGGCCTGTTTACGGCATCGTTTAGTAATGTGACCATTACTGATGAAGAGGTTCTGAACCATAAAGTGGGCGTGGCAATGGCGGTGGCCTTCTTCAGCGGACTGGTACTGTTACTGATGGGAGCTTTGCGGCTTGGCTTTCTTACCATGTATCTATCTGTGTCGTTTGTTGGTGGATTCACCACTGCATCCGCGGTTCACATCGCCACAAGTCAAATCAGCAAGATGCTCAATATCAAGGTAAAGGCGTACTCTGGAGCAGGAAAGATCATCCTTACGTATGTTGGCATCTTCACCAACATCGCAGACACCAACGTAGCTGACATCGTCATAGCCCTCATCTGTGTTGCAATTCTTCTGGCAGTCAAAATAGGCATCAATGAACGATTCGCGAGTAGAATGAAGATTCCCATTCCAATCGATCTAATTGTGGTTGTCCTGGGGACATTTATATCCCATTTCGCAGAACTGAAGCGACACTTCAACATAGCGATTGTGGGTGACGTACCTAATGGGCTACCTGTGCCCTCGCTGCCGCATTTCGAAAGCATTCCAAGGATAGCAACTGAGGGGTTCGTCATTGCAATCATAATATTTGCCATGACGATATCAATGGCAAAGCTGATGGCACGACAGCATGACTACGAGCTTGACTACAACCAAGAACTGATCGCCTACGGCATGAGTAACTTCATCTCCTCTTTCTTCCACTGTTTCCCCTCCTGCACTGCCCCTCCCAGAACAATGATCCTCAGCTCCTTAGGATCCAGGACAACCCTAAACGGAATCCCGTCAGCAATCTTCATCCTCATCGTCATACTGGCTGCTGGTCAGTTGTTTGTCTCCCTACCTATCGCTGTCTTAGCTGCTATGATTGTCGTTGCAATGAAGAATCTCCTGCTACAGATACGGCAGCTTCCAGGATTGTGGCGGGCAAGCAAGGCCGACTTCACCATCTGGATCTTTACCTTCCTAGTCGGGGTGCTAGTAGATTTGGACTTCGCAATCATCGTCGGCGTAGGTATATCCATCTTCACCGTTATCGTTCACACGCAGCTCACCACGGGGTCTATCACGGGGGTCTCAACAAAAGAGGACGTGATGCTGACAGAAGGAACCCGGGACGGAACAAGAACGATTCCTGGCATCTCCGTGTTCTTCTTTAATTCCATTTTGTATTTCGCCAACGCGGAGAAATTCAAGAAAGAGATATTCCTGAAGGTGTTCAACCCTGCTACACGGGAAAACATCAAGAGAGACATCATTGCAAAAGAAGCTGGGGAAGGCGTAACAAGTAATGGCAATAATGGCAAAGAGGTCGACCATGACGATGTCGTGGCTGTCATGTCGGATGACTCCCTCGTCCACAGCATCATCATTGACTGCTCCGCCATGTCCTTCATTGACATCGGTGGGGTCAATGTCCTCAAGGTAGTGGTGTCCAAGTACGGAAAGGTAGATACCAAGGTGTACCTAGCCTGTGTAGGGAAGTATATGTGGAAAACTCTCCACAGAGCTGGCTTCTTTGACACCTTCCCAACGGAACATGTCTTCTTTGACGTATGGGATGCTGTGACCGCTCTTCAAAAGAAAGGAATGGAACGACCCACATCTGAACTCTTGACGTGTGTGGATCCTTCGTCGAGACCTTTCTTGGATTGTAGATTTTGAGATGTTACGTACGCTTTTCACTGACACAGTTCCATGCGATATAGTGCTTTGATTAGTAGAGCCGTAAACGAGGTTTTCTAAGAAGAGGTGCTGTCTCGATCCGATGGAGAAATTCCGTCGATTAGTGCAGAAAGATGCTCAACCATGCTTTTCTGGTAATTTAAATCTAGGAGTGTGGTCAAAGGCATTTATTAGTTCCCTGAGGAATATAGACCTCTCGGACACATACGAAATTGTGTACGGCAAGCTCGCATATTCAGGATGAACTTTCTTGTGTATGATTCTGTGCATTTATGAGCGTGTGTTTGTTGTGACGTTGATGACAACAGTCAACATTAACGACTTTTCAAGGGCCGGTTCCAGGAAACGGTCTTAGCGATTGGTATTAAGTATTGGTGTTGAAGTTATGACAGTGGTAGAGCAAAAATCATTTTGTGGAACTGGTGTCAGTTCGTAACTCATACCTTAACGTAAGTCGCTTTGTGGAATGGGGCCCTGGTCCCAGTACTGTTATTAATCAAAGATGACCCGTTAAAGATGCCTGGTTAACAGAAAGTATTACATTTCATATTATATTATTATATATTTCAATGGAAAATTTGAATTAAATTTAAATTGCATATGAAAAATCTAAACAATATCTAATTCAGTTAGTACACTGAAATTAACGAAAACCGAGGGATTTTTTTATTCATATGGTATATAGTTTATACTTATAATTTTTATAAGGAAGAATACAAGAAATAAAAACATTAAAAAAGAATATATTTGTGTGGGTGTTTAACCAGTATGTCAACTTGGTTAACCTTGACCTCGTTCATCGGGACACCTTTAAGACTAGAAAATAGAAACCTGCAGTAATTCAACATAAGGTACACTCTCATTAAATCATTAAAGGGCGCTTGGGTTCAACATGTCAGCTCTCAAAACAATTCGGCTTCATTTCTTTGCCACCTCGATTCGGAAATGTTCATTTTAACACAGGAAAACCACAAAATTATAAATAATCTTTCGAACTCCAGTTTAGTTGTAGATGAATGGCGCTCAGAAACGACAGGGTTTATAAAGATCGATATCCACAACGATAAATTGGCGCAGCCTAAACTATTTACCTTCGGAACTGGCCAGTCAGTTCGTTTTCGAGATAGAGCAATCAAATATGCAGGTCGGAATGCTTCGACCACTCGTACAGAGAAATAAGAAGCCTCGAAGAAAATTGACCAGACGCGACCTCCAATGGAGATTCCGAAACAGAGAGGTATCGTATCGGAGTAAAAGGTCCGACACTTTTAAAATGATTGTTCCATCGTCGGGTGTTAGCGACACAAAAAAGAAAAAAGTGATCACTGCATACAGAACAGAACAGTCTGCCCATTCTCTTTCTAAAACGTTCATCGACCGTCTGAATTCATGTAGCCTCTCGAACAGGTCTTTAGCAAACCACGCTTGCCATACGAGGCGACTAACTTGATCGGGTGGTCAGACTCGCTTACTTAGCTGATGCGTACCATCGCATCCCAATTGCGTAGATCGGTGCTCACGATGTCAATCACTGGATTGTCTGGTCCACATTCTATTATCTACAGACCGCCGCCATAAAGCTGGAATATTGCTGAATCACGCGAGCACATTGATTAAAAACATGTAAAGGTTCGGAAAATATCTGTTGACAACGAGTTGGCGGTGCACATGCTTTGCAAATCCTGCAATCGACCGAAATCTGCACGACAGTTTACGAACCGGATTTCAATTTCGTTGCACGCTTTTGATTGGACAATGCATAGACTCGTTAGTCCAGCCATAATATCACCCTAGTTCGGCAAGGGTGGAAACTGAACTTTTATAGTCAGTTAACTCTCTTGCCTCGGGAAGATGCCCCGACCCCACCCCAAAAGCTTTCAAAATTAACTGAAACGGACATAAAATATTCACAAAATTATTTTCTTAAATCACAGAATGTTACTTAATTATTAATTGTTTTGATTGTTTAACGTCGCTTTAAGCAAAGTATCAGCTATATGATGGTGGCCTGTAATTAATCAACGTTACGACCATACAATCCAGTGACTCATATGATGATCAACGATTCCCACCGTTGGAGCACGTCCACATGTTATGAACCAAGTCATCGAGCCAAAGTGCCCAAGGGACGCAACTCTGCATAGCGAATTGCGGCGCCAAAATACGACTGGGCCACCAGTGCAATATAAAGATACACAAAGGATGAAGTTAATGGCAAACCTCTGGCTTGTGCAAATGATAATGCCATGAACCTCCGCTGAAGGATATTTTTACAAGCACTACAATAATCTAAACATAAAGATGGTCTTTTCAAACCTCCTATGACGCCACTCATAACGCCACACTCAGCAATATTCCAGCTATATGACGGTGGTCTGTACATAATCGAGTCTGGACCAGACAATCCAGTGATTGGCATCATGAGCATCTATCCATGCAACTGGGATACGATGACATGCATCACCAAAGTCAGCGAGCCTGGCCACCCTATCATAGTCGCCTCTTACGACAATCATAGTCGCCTTTTACGTCAAGAATGGGTAGACCTATTCTACCCCGGATCTTCACGGGTATATTCATCTTTGCATAACTGCTTATTGGTTTGTTTTTACTTTCTTTGACAGCTATCATTTCAATTTTCAATGTGTTCTTGAATCATAACTTTTAAATTTAATTTAATTTATATTGTGTTTCTGTTGTTCCATCATTCCATTTGTAATTATTTTCCGTTAAACTTTGGATATTCATTCTTGGTATGAGTTTTTTTTCTTTTTTCCTTTTCAAGCGCAGGGTTTAAATTTGGATCAATGTAACTCATTTACAAAAGGAAAAAAATCCGTAATTCAGCTCGTCTGAAGTTAACAGACGTACTGATACTATTGGGGCGGTCGGGTAGCCTAGTGGTTAAAGCGTTCGCTTCCCGGGTTCGATTCCCGAAATGGGTACAATGTGTGAAGCCCATTACTGGTGTCCTCCGTCGTGATATTGCTGGAATATTGCTAAAAGCGACGTAACACCATACTCACTCACTCACTCACTCACTGATACTATGATGCGCACGTAAAATGGCCTGTACCGCGTGTCCTTCTCGATCTCGTCAGCAGTCTTCATAAAATGACTATACGGACGATCAAATTATCATTATCTTTTGTTTTGTACAAAAATGAAAGATAATTATATTATCTCTTGGCAGATGTCTTCCTCGGGGCTAATCTGACGGGGAGACGCTTGCGGTACTGAGGCCCAATTCTGAGGACAGACACTTTGTCTCGAACTAACCTCTGACATTAAAGCATACGGCACTGGGGACCTTCCCTGTCCCACACTAACCTCTAGGGTATAGCTTAGCGAACTGGGGACCTACCATGCCCCACACTAACCTCTGGGGTATAGCTTAGCGAACTCTGGACCTATCCTGCCCCACACTAACCTCTGGGGTATAGCTTAGCGAACTGGGGACCTATCCTCTTCCCGCTCTAACCTCTGGGGTATAGCTTAGCGAACTGGGGACCTATCCTGCCCCACACTAACCTCTAGGATATAGCTTAGGGAACAGGGGACCAACCCTGCCCAACACTAACCTCTGGGGTATAGCTTAGCGAACTGGGGACCTACCCTGCCCCACACTAACCTCTGGGGTATAGCTTAGCGAACTGGGGACCTATCCTGCCCCACACTAACCTCCGGGATATAGCTTAGCGAACTGGGGACCTACCCTGCCCCACACTAACCTCTTGGGTATAGCTTAGCAAACTGGGGACCTACCCTGCCCCACAATAACTTCTGGGGTATAGCTTAGCGAACTGGGGACCTACCCTGCCCCACACTAACCTCTGGGGTATAGCTTAGCGAACTAGGGACCTATCCTGCCCCACACTAACCTCCGGGATATAGCTTAGCGAACTGGGGACCTACCCTGCCCCACACTTACCTCCGGGATATAGCTTAGCGAACTGGGGACCTATCCTGCCCCACACTAACCTCCGGGATATAGCTTAGCGAACTGGGGACCTACCCTGCCCCACACTAACCTCCGGGATATAGCTTAGCGAACTGGGGACCTACCCTGCCCCACACTAACCTCTGGGGTATAGCTTAGCGAACTGGGGACCTACCCTGCCCCACAATAACTTCTGGGGTATAGCTTAGTGAACTTGGGACCTACCCTGCTCCGCTCTAACCTCTAGGATATAGCTTAGCGAGCTGGGGACCTACCCTGCCCGCTCTAACCTCTCGGGTATAGCTTACCGAACTGGGGACCTACCCTGCCCCACACTAACCTCTGGGATATAGCTTAGTGAACTGGGGACCTTTCCTGCCCCACACTTGGCACAACCTTGGCGTAGTGGGGACTGGTCGGCTCGAAGTCCGTATATGTCTCAGAGTGGGGTATCCATGTTTAACTGTGGCATGTTATCTCAGTGGCCTAGCACTATAAAGCCGGCATTCGTCCAGACTGGTAAAATCAGCCAAACATACGCACGCTAGCACGCGTGCACTTCGAAATACATATGCCCCCAAATGTTCTCCTGATATTGAGAAGTTCAACACTACAATCTTTTTTGGGGTTGGAACCTCTGAAACTTATCTAAACAGATATATGAAACAACAGGAGTAGCACCACATTTCAAGTTGACACGAAGGACATTTCATAGAAAGTAATCGCTTACCCTGAGAAACTTGAAGACGATCGGTAGAACAACTTAGAAAATAAGATAGAAATGAAATCTTGATCAAGGATCTCGAATGTATTCTGGACAGATAAGAGTCCTATACAAGGAAACACAATAAATTATTTCTTTTATCCTAGGTGACGGTAAAGAAACCCTTCACCGTGAACACACTTTACATATTCACAACTCAGGATATTCAGCGTGACACGATACAAATGAAATAACTCTCAGATGCAGAGTGAGTGAGTGAACTTGCTTCGAACAGTATTTCAGTCATATCACAGTTAAATCCCGAAGTGATACAGTGACGTTATCTCTTTTGTGAAACGCGCGAGCACGGGTATGGTACCGACAAACCGAAAACAAAACCAGTGCAAACCAGGAGTCGAACCCACGATCATTGGTTTCAGGCACGTCTAAATTTTGAATACTTTTGCACATCGAATTGCGGCGCCTTGAATTCACAATAAGATTCGAATGACGCGACAGATGACGTTCGTATGATGAAAACAAGATTGTGGTGCGAGTGAAGTGATATTGTAACATAAAAGTAGGTATGTTCCCTGATTTGATTGGTTAAAAAGTGTTGTCGAATGAGCATAACATCGCTGAATTTTTGGGGTCTCATCACCGTGTATGTATACATTAATTAATGGAACTATTTTTGAAATCATCAACATGGAGGAACAGATGGAAATTTACCCTGACTTCCACATCGGAGATTTCGATGAAATATTGAGTGAATGGGGCGACGTGACATTTTCTGAGATGATTCAAGAATTTGAAGGTAAATGAAATTTACCTTTTTCCATTAATTACAAAATCATAATCATAATTAATGTAATTTTCTTGGGCTTGGCCAAAGGAAAAAACAAAACAAAATCAATTTTTAACAGAGTAAAAAACATTTATTGCAACTCT